AAATTCAAGACCAGCCTGGGCTACAAAGTGAGCTCAAGGCCAGCCTGAACTGCATAGTGAGACCCTGTCTCAAAAAGACAAAAAAAAAAAAAAATTCAAATTTAAATAACTATTTTTCAAAGCAAATATTTAGGGAGAAGAGTGGTACTGTGTCACATTGTTAAAAATCACTTTAGTGTCCGGCTTAACAGAAAAAGAGCTGCATTCTACTGTCTGTTTCTGCACTCAATTTACTTGGATATTATACGTGATGAGCTTCTAGAAAATGTCACTGCATACTAACAAGAAGACGAGAGTGAAAAAATAAAATACTGAGTATTGTAATAAAAGTAGTTTTGACCTCACTGATCCCTGAAAGAGTTTTTGGTACCCAAGAATCCCCAGACTGTATGTCAGGAGCTACTGCTCTAAAGGGCTCAGCCAAGTGGGATTATTTCACTCTGTTTTAATATGAAAGAAGTCACTATCACCGTAATGCCGAAAAAAGTATTTGTTTCAGTAAGGATTAAAGGATATAGTGGAGTTTTATGCCTGGTACATTTTAGAGTGTGCATTCCAGGGGCTAATTCATTTGCTCCTCATAAGGGCCCTGAAAGGTATGTAATTTGCTTTGTACTTTTCGGATGAAGGTGAGGCTTCTGTTGGGTTTGGTGGCTCCCAGGCAACTTGTCTCTAATGGACAGTGACAGGAAGGGGCTTGATAAGGAGGGGCAGCCAAAGCTTTCCACACCCCTCATTGACTCCTTCTGTCTTCCAGTCTGAGATGCAGATCCAGGACCAGAGGCTCCTGCTCACACTGAGGCATCTCCACAATGTCCTGGAGGAGCTGCGCACACCAAGCACCCAGTGGGAGGATGGCAGGTCCAGCGGGGGAACATCTCCTATCAGAGCACGAGCAGGCTCTGAAGGCAGGTGCTGCCAGCCAGTTGCCTCCAGGGGGCTGGCCCAGCTCCTTCAAGGGGAAGAGAACAGAAGAAACTCCCTTCCCTAACTGGCCAGAGATGACGCTGACCCCACGCCCGCCATCTGTAGTCTAAATTCTGTGAGGTTTGGGAGTAGAAGGAGCACTGGGATGGAGTCATGAAGCCAGGGCTCTGGGGTCTGTCTCTGCTTGCTGCTGGGTCCCTGGATCCATCACTCAACTTCTCTATGTTTCTAGTTCCTTTTCTGTCACTTATCAGTTATTTTGTGAGGCATAAATAAAGTATCAGATGTGAGCATGCACAAACGTGTTATATAGCTTCTCACAAGTACCCATGGCTATAATCCATGCTTGAGAATTTCTCACAAAGCAATTATTAAAAAACAAAAATAAAAGAAAGATTTGATGTGCAAGAATGGTTACCTAGCATTGCCATGGTGAAAAATTCAGAACCCTATGCAGTGATCTTTCCACAGGGCTGCTCCTCTGAGTTTTCTGTCTTCTCACCCAGCCTTCCCATCCTCCCTCAGCCATTAACAAAAGGCCCTGGTCCCACCTTGGCCATGGGATGGGCATGTGACCAAGTGTGGCCAATTGTATAACTCAAGGTTGTTCTAAGAACAGGATCGGGTTACAGGTGGGCATGTGACTCAGCAGAGCCAATAGCAGTCTTTCCCTGGGATTGCTGTCTGGATGCTCTTTTTACTACAGCTACAAAGCAGAGGCAGCCAGTAGCCATGTTTACTGTCGGGGGGGGGGAAAGACCTGTATATGGTAAGAAAGAAAGAGGCAAATCTTTAAAGAGAGGGTCACACAAGAGATGGACAGAAAAAAAGAGCCCTGGTTTTTTTTTAGATCCTGCTTTTAGGCCCTAGTTTGTGAGTCATCTCTATTTTTTCAATATGTGAATTTTATTAGTAGTAGTACATGAACATTTGCGGTACATAATGATTGCATTCACTGTGAGGAATAGGTACATGTGCATAACATATTTTAGTTCCTTTTTTACATCCCTTTTCCCTCCTGCTAGATCTCTTTCCTGTCCCTCTCTCTCCTCTTTCTTTCTGTCTCTGTCCTTCTCTCCTCTGTCTCTCTCTGTCTCTCTCTGTCTCTGTCCCTCTCTCCCTCCTCTCTTTTCCTCATCTCTGCATTCTTTTTGTTGAACTCTACCACCCACTGCCACACACACTCGGGTTTGTTTGTGCTTAAGCTCATTTGAGCAGGCTTTCTCTCATTTGCAACCAAAATGCTCCCCAGGAACACCATCCAGATGTTCAAAAAATCAACGAAGAGAAATCACTAAGAGAGTGGCATTTCATTCATACAGGGTTTGTGATAATGACCTCCTCTATAACAGCTGGCAGTGAGGTTCACGTACAGAGGGACGCTCAGTTGTATGGAGTACTACAGTTATAACCACAAAAATCATATCTGCTTCTATGAAGAATTATAACGAAAAAGTGAGATAAAAGTTATGGTGTGGGGATGACCCAGTTACAGGCAGGCCTTCTGGATTTTACAATCTTCTTGCATATTGTTAGAGACTGTGTTTACAGTTTTGAAGAAGTGAGTTCACTGCCTGCAGAGACAGTGGAAGGGTGCATTGTACATTCTGTGTTCACAGTCAGATTCATTTGGGAATTTATACAATACTTGGTAATATAAAAAGTACCAAGTACCTGCTCTGTGATGCAAGGGATGGGACCTTGCCATGCATATTTCTGTGTTGCCAACTGCTCCCTCTTAAACTTTTTATTCTTTTCCAATAAGCAAATAAGGTTGGACTGCAGGGAGGATAGAGAAGGGGCTCCATGTCCTACAGGCTTCTTGTTGCTCTGAGCACCCCGTGCAACGCTGTTTCACCTCACAGCAGAGGTCTCTTCTACGGCACCAGCTCCTCCCCTAGCCCTCAGGACCCTCCCCTGAGCCACAGAGACACCATCCCAGCTAAGCACAGCTCCACAGGACTCCTTCTTTGAGTTTTTAAGTTTTAATAGTTTCATCTTCTTTTCTTTGTTCCTTCAGCCCTGGGGGTGGTAGATGCTTCCTGCAATTGCTACCTTAGAATTCTTTTTATAACCTTGCAATAACCTAGTTAATAACTTTACACCTAGTTAAAAATTCTTTATATTATGTTCATTGTGTTAAAATTGGTGTGGTTTCTGTCTCCTATCCGTCCCTGACTGACAGTCTTTTGCTATTCTTTCCAGTGCTATTGTAACTATACTTGTCCATGTCTCCTGGTGCACAAGTACAAGATTGTCTAGAATATACATGTAGAGTTGAATTGAGGGAATGTGAACTCTCAAGTTTACAAGAAACTTGTTTCACAACTAGGTCATCCACCCACCTCCTACAAGCAGCATGTAAGAATTTCATGGGTCCCCATCTGGCCAATACTTGGTGTTAGCTTAGTTTGCCAGTGTAATGGGCATAAACTAGTATTAGCTTGCCATCCTAGGACTAGAGATAAAGCTCAGTTGTAGAACATATGAAAAGTCATTGGTTTAATCCACAGTGCCCCCAAAGAACACACATTTAGAGAGAATATAGCTCAGTGGTAGTTTGCCTAAGATTGTCACCTTGATTTAATTTTCATGATCCTATTTACACGCATGGTTGTTAACCTGAGTTTTAATTCCAGCTCTACCATTCACTTACCCTTTTTGATCTTAGATAAATGGTTCACTCTCTCTGAGCCTCAATTGCCTGACCTATAAAAAGGGGATGATAATAGTATTACACATAGGATCATTGTGTAGATTAAATGGGATAATACATATAAATCATTTTATATAACGTTTGGCACTGGAAAGGCTAATAAATGGCAACTTATTATTGCTGTGTGATTAGTGGCTGATTTGTGAAACTGACAATTACAAACAGGCTTGGTAGTGACCAGCATCTAGAGAGTTCTTGGTCTAGCCATGCAATGTAGAAATGGCATTGGTCTCCTATGCCCAGTGTCAACCACTAGCACCCTCCACTTCTCCCTGCTTCCCACGGCTTGGCTCACAGACCAGAAGCCCCTGCTAATGCCCATCCGTACCCCAGTGTTGGAACCTACAGCCTCCAAGCTACTCCTCTGGTGGGTATTTGAGCTTCTCCAGGACATCACCCCTGGAGTGAATGTTCAGTTCCTGATCCCAGATCAGAATAAGCTCACGGCAAACCCAGATGCTGGGCACAGAGGGTGGGAATGGCAGTAAGATCCTGAGTACAGATCCTAGAGGACAAAGTTAGAAGTCATGTCCATGCAGGGAAGCCACTGAGCACCATGGGAGCATGTCATCATGGTCTCAGAAAGGAAAGTCCAAGATTTTCTCTGCTCAGGTAGCAAAAACATGACTCCATGCCTAAACCTGACATCCAGAATGAGGGGAGGAAGGGACACAGATGGCAAAAGGACTAATGAGGTCTGAGGTTAAAAACTTAAGAACAAGAAGAACAATTCAATATGTGAAACCCATAGTGAGTTAGGCCTGAACTCACACTGTAACTGATGAGAAATGATCAGGTTCCATCCTGGGATGGCTGTGCCACCTGACAGAGCATGTAATTGCTGTGTAACAAAGTGCCCTGAACTTAAAACAACAACAATCATTTTATTATTGCAACAGCCATTTATGGTTTTTGTGAGTTCTATTTCCCATGGGTCTAGGGGTTGCCTGGTGTATCAGTCAGGGTTTTACTGGAGAAACAGATACAACACAGGATGTGCAAATTATAAGAAATTACAAGATTGGTTTACGACGGTCAGCCAGAGAGTTGTATGGGGAAGTGTGCAGAGGGTGTCTGCACACTGAAGGCCGAAGGAATCAGTCCAGGGTCTGGAGCTCACTGCAGAGTTCCGTGCAAGTCCTTACCAGGAGGCCGATGAATCTGCAAAGGAAGGCTGAAGGATCCAAGGCAGAAGCCGAAGAGTCTGCACTAGAAGTCAGGAGACAAAGTCCAAGCTGAAGGTGAAGACTGGAGCTCCTCCAAAAGGAATGGAAGTAGCTCTGTCCTTCTTCATTTCCCTTTTATATTATCTAGGTGATGATCCACCCTAGGGTGGCTCCTCTACACCCTAGGGTGTAGAATTGCTGGGCCAATTACTGAACCAAGTTTAGTTATGCTTCTAAACTTCTCAAGTTGACATAATCAATCAACCACTACACCTGGGTTCAACTCTTGCTTAGATTCTCAAGTGGTTGCAGTCAGATGGTGCCTATGGCTCAATCCATCACTAAGGCTGATTTATTTACATAATTGGCTGTGACACTGTGACACTGGCTGTCGCCTGGGACCTTAGCTGAAGCCGTCATCTGGAACAACTACACATGACCCCTCCACGTGGTCTGGGCTTCCTTTCTTTAACTCACACCTACACTTTACATTCTCATCTTCTATCTGCATCTTTTTTTTTTTTTTTGGTCTTCTTGAGACAAGGTCTGGCTATGCAGTTCAGGCTGGCTTTGAGCTCACTTTGTAGTCCAGGGTGGCCTAAACTTGCAACAATCCTCCTGCCTCAGCCTCCCAAGTGCTAAGATTACAGGCATGTGCCACCATGCCCAGCTGTCTGCATCTTTTCAGCTCCACTCTCATTGCTAATAATTGCATTCTCCTGCTACTTTTTTCCTATGGTGTCCAGGATTGAACCTAGGGCTTCATATATCTTAGGAAGTGCTCTACCATTGATCTATACACTTGGCCCTTCATTTTAGTTTGAGGCAGCATCTTGCTAAGCTGCCCAGGTTGGCCTTGAAATTGCGATCCTCCTGCCTTCCCAAGCAGCTGGGATTACAAGCGTGCACCACTATGCCCAGCTTCCTGCTGCTTCTTTAAATTAGAGTCCACAGAACAGGAGGAACTCTGAGTGGCTGGCTCAGCTTTTGACATGTGTACACATGATAAGTTGTTTGCATAAAGTAGATTTATTTCTACTACTACTGCTCTTCCTCATCAACACATGGATTGTAAAATATAGTGGACTTTGACACCTACTGCCTGGTTTGAATCCTAGGTCTGCTACTTAGCTCTGTGACCTTGAGCAAGTAACAAAATTTTCTGTGTTTTTCTGCTGCTCTAAAAAGTGGGGGTAAGAAGAGAAATGATCTCACA